AAAAAAAACAATGTTCATTTTCAGTATGGTTGATATCTTTAAACAATTGCCTTGGTACCCATAATCTTTGAAAGCTACTTCCAAAATAGATTCTACAATAGGTCCGGAGTTTGCATTGCCTTGCCGTTTACTCGTGATAGACCCCCTGGATGGCTCTACTCTGTGACATTATTTATTGGATTCAACTTTGCTACATTTTTGTTGATTGCATTTGGACAATGGTCAATATTTATGGAAGTAAGGAAATCTAGTGTTAGGACGAAGAAGATCAAATCTGCAAGAAAAAAGGACCTAGTGGTTGCAAGAAATTTGCTTCTAGTCGTTACAACCGACTTCCTTTGTTGGTTTCCGATAGGAGTGATGGGTATATTTTTAAAATAATATTGAAAAGAAAAATGCCTTGTCATTTATAAACAGAAATAAGTTTGTTAAAAATACTTGTGGTATATATTTAAATGTTACATTGAAAATGATAATCATGTATTATTTTTAGACTAATTGTTTCGTCAAAAACAACAATCGGTATGACTAGTAGAAATATAAAATTTAAAATTATACCTGGTGCAAGATTCTTTTATACATGACAAACGCATCACATATTTTCTATCCTTGAGAAACGCTGTTTTATTTATTTCACAGTTTATATCTTTTTTGAAGGTATAATGGCATTGAATGGCCACGTGATATCTGGAGACATCTATGCTTGGACAGCAGTATTTATATTACCTATAAATTCTGCTTTGAATCCGGTATTGTATACACTGACAGCTATACTTGGAAACACGGTTTGTTTGAAATTCGTCTATTTTAGCTTTAATTTTAGTTTTATTAGCTTCTGAAATTTTAAATATTTCATCATTAATATTTAACTTTGGTTAAATATTGGATTATGATATATCAAAATGGCAATAGTATGCAAATAGAAGTACGAAAATCTCCAATGTGGACAACTCTGCGAAACATTAATATTGTTTTTATATAAGTATTGATTGTCATTTATTTCCTAGAAATTTAATCCGAACACAGAAGAACAGAATAGAACCGAGATAACAGAAGGTAAGACCGTTTATAAAAAGAAGATCAAGTTCGATTAAAGGTGCTGTAACACAATTTTTATGGTTTTAAATCATAAAAATGATGCTCAAATTAACATTTATCAATAATGTAGGTTTCAGAAATCATTATTTATAAAGATATTACCGAATTTAACATTCACGTAAAGAAAGGGGGGTAATAAAAAATTGATTTTCTATAAAATAGAGTAAAGCAGAATCCCTAAAGAAAGCCCAACACAAGTTTTATTTGCATAATTATGTACATATATATAATTTCACTTCGTGTGCTTTGCAAGTTTAAGCACAACATACGGGATCTTTAATACATATTTAAACATTCAAAAGCAATCAAGGTATCAAAGATATACTGTTATTTAATAGTACGGTTTTCGTTTTCCAACTGTACTGCTTGAGAAATATTTCGGATTCATCTCTGTGTGTTGTCAGGTAATAACAAGTAACTGATTAGTATTACCAAGCTTCTGTAAAGTAGTTAGATAGATTTCTCATATACCGCATCTGATATAATCCAAAGTCCATGCCGGGATTCAAACCAAGAGCGGTTAGGATGAAATAAATGAATGTCAGCGATAATAGCAGTTCGGCTTTAGAAACCGAGCATGATAAAAGATAAATTAGTTAATAATATAAGCAAATCTCTACTTCGACAGAGATTACATGCTTTGTTATTTTGATCACAAATACTATTTTTATGTAAGTCTTTTGTAAAATTTGCAGTTCTCTTTTAATCTAGTTCGAACAGTAAGTAATTGTTGAACGGCATAATAAGTCGTTTCCTCGAGTATTAATACAGGGAAGGTCATGTCAACGTACCACCAACAACAAATTATTACATCGAGATTTTAAACATCATTTTTCTTTCATTAAATATATCAAGCATGTGTTTAATAATGTTTTAATAATAGATTCAGAGCATGTTACATGTTAAATACCGAAAAAGCAATATGTAAACAAAGTAATATTTTGACTTCCACACAAAATAGTACTTTACTATATTTATACCAATTTCAAACAGGGAAAGAAGCAAATATGGTTTATCTGCATGGCAAATGAGTAATTTATGGAAACTGTTACAGGATACCAAAATTACAAAGTCTTTGAATAATAAAAATGATAGCATTTCTGAGGCATAGTGGGCCTTCAATTTTAAACTACTTTTCATAATGTTTGTGTATGTTTTAGACAGATATTCGGTTTACATATATTATAAATCTATGAACATAATATCTTACAGAGCTCGGTAATTATTTCAAGGATTGTCGTCTTGTTAACAAGATGATATCTGTTAGAAGGATTCAGAAATCGGATTTTAAAAGTGTAACATCTGTCTTGGAGCAAGACTACAGCTTAGCCACCCATGACCTTGTAAGGCTGTCAGTGACCCTGTTTAAACTGCTTGACGTTATCCACAAAGGATCGTTGGTATTCGAGAACCTGAATAAAGATTCAGTCCATATTAAGGTGAAAGGGGAAAAGGTATGATATTATTTTTTTTATATATATAAAAGGTTAAAACAAATTTCTCTATGTTTTAATGTGGTAAATCGACATTGTTTGATATGTTTTGAAGGGAAGTCGCTTATTGATTAGGTATCTGTGATATGTTAAGCATAGAATGAATCAAACATTCAAAATAAAAGATACGTTTCACAAATGATTTTATTTTAGCTAGAACAAACAAAATCGAAACTGAATTTAAAACATATATTTCACTTTTTATCAACAGTAACTGTTTTTATGAATTAGCTTTATGCATATAGGAAAGGCTAATTATTTTAATCAAAATATCGTTAACTTAATTTGAACAAAAACGGGTTCATAAGTATACGCTATTGAGCATATTTTACATAAAGATTTGTTTAATCTTAACAGATAACTGGGGACATTAAAGTGTTAGGAGAACCTCGAGAATCAAGAAAAAGTGAAGATATCCCTAACGACACGTTACAAGCTGCGGTTATCATACATTCATTAATGAGCCAATTAAATGTCTCAAAATAATGATGTGTTGCTAACCTATTTAAATTTGTTATTGTGAGCTATTATATGTTGTATTTGTTGTATCTATTTTATGGTTTTTATTCTCACTATTCCTTGGATTACATTCGCATTTTCTTGATTAATCAACGCATATGTGAAGCAAATATTTGCCATTTCTTATGGTTATGGGTAGACAGAAAGACTCAACTGAACTAAAATTATGTTTTATGACGTTTCTATCTAGAATGGTTCTTTTGTTAAGGCATGAAATATCTCGATCTTCTTTTTTAAATAAATATATTATCGTGTGTAAAGTAGTTTGTTATTGATTGGATTTCGAGGTCAATATTGTATCTAAACCACTATCTTATATATCTCCTCAAATGTACTTCACAAATATTCTATTCTAGAAGATTACGGATGATTATGCTAATTCAGCAAATTTATAACGTTAATTACCAAAGTGAATGGTATATCAGTATACATGTATTTAATTTCCCAAGGCACATGAAACTTTAAAATACAGCAATAAAACCATCATTTTGTATATATACATGTATATAGAGGATATTCAAGGTTTTTCTCTAAATACAGGATTTAAATTCATCGAAAGGTGTGAAAATAGATATTTCATGAGTTACTGTAGCCTCGAAAGAAATGAGATAAATTTCATACCACAAGATGAAAACATATGCTATATTTATAGAAAAAAAACTTAAATTTTCTGTATTTTATACATGTATACATTTATTTTATATTTTGACATTACAATTTGAAAGAATTTCCGTTAAATTTTGTGTACTGGCAGAATTTAGAAGTAGTCTGGCAAGACACCAGTAAAACTACGAAAAACATGTTTCACTGCAGTTAGAAATAATTTTTTACAGTGAAAATACAGAAAATGAAAATAGACATTTTATTTCATCAATATTTCTCAATATTTCATTTATAAGTACGTATAAATATTTTTTATCTTCTTAAATAATTCCTATTTATCGAAAGTACAAAATGATTTGCATATTTTAACTCTAACACAATTCACACTATTCCCCTATTAAACAGACCGGTCATTCAAGTGCATAATTGCACTATATATGCACAACATAACAAAGCAATGTTAACACGTCATCTGACGTCAGATATGACGTTAATGAAACAAATAACGTACAAAAATATACTTATACAGCAAGTTTACTTCAACATATGTTAATAATTCTTTTTTATTAGCATGTTAGAATAAAAATGTGTATTATGTTTTCGTGCATTTTAATATAATTATGCAGAGTTTATCGTACAAATGCTTTGTAATTAATCACTGAGGCCTATGAATCTTCGTGATTATATTTTTACGCATTTGAACTCGAACCGTGCATTATTCTTAAAACAATGCACTCAAATATGATATCTGTTTCCTGACAAATAACAAGTTAAGCTAATTTCAAACCAACACTAAACTCTGGCAGCTTTTTTCTAATGATTAAGAGTTGAAAAAAAAAACATTGAAAAAAATAATCACAGCTCTATTACATACAGGGGTTCTTTAGTAGTCCTTAATTTTCCGTATACTATAGAATGTACATTCTTTCAAATCTCGTGATATTATATATATAGACATACACACCAATAAATATATGGTCTTGTCCTTAAGAATGTTCTGTTGTTATATGAAGTCAATCCATTCAAAAATAGCAAAGGTACAGCCAGTTACAGCCAAAAAATGAAAATTTCAATAATTTGACCTTCAGTCAAGGTTATTTATATGAGTGAAGGTCAAGGTCTGTCTGGTTATTTTAAAGCGCTATCCTTAAAGATAATTATGTTCAAGTTTGAAGACAATCCATTAACAAGAGGGCCATGATGGCCCTGAGGTCGCTCAACTGTATATAGGCCCCTCCAACCCCAACCCCCCAACGTTGCAGGGCCAATTTAACCCAAGGGCTTTTATTTGCACAAACTTGGTAGACACCCATAAGAAGATGTTTCATGCTAAACATCTAAGCTCTAGCTCATTGGGCTTTTTGAAAAGAAGAATTTTTTTAAAGTTTTTACTATACACATATAGTAAAAAACAATGACACCCCTGGGGCCAGGCCAGGGCTTTTATTTGAACAAACTTTGTAGACACTTACTAGAAGATGTTTCATGCTTAATATCTTAACTCTAGCTATTTAGGTTTTTTCAAAGAAGATTTTAAGTTTTTGCTATACACATATAAGGAAAATCAATGACCCCCGGGGCAGGGCCAATTTTGACCCCAGGTCTTTTATTTGAACAAACTTTGTAGACACTCACTAAAAGATGTTTCATGCTTAATATCTTAACTCTAGCTATTTGGGTTTTTTCAAAGAAGATTTTATAAGTTTTTGCTATACACATATAAGGAAAATCAATGACCCCCTGGGGCGGTGCCAATTTTGACCCCAGGGCTTTTATTTGAACAAACTTGGTAAACACCTATTAGAACATGTTTGATGCTAAATATCATAGCCATAGCTCTTTGAGTTCTTTAAAAGAAGATTTTTTAAGTTTTTACTATATGCATATAGGGAAAATCAATGACCCCCTGGGGCGGGGCCAATTTTGACCCCAGGGCTTTTATTTGAACAAACTTGGTAGACACCCATTAGAACATGTTTCATGCTAAATATCTTAGCTCTAACTCTTTTGGTTCTTTAAAAGAAGATTTTTTAAGTTTTTACTATATGCATATAGGGAAAATCAATGACCCCCTGGGGCGGGGCCAATTTTGACCCCAGGGCTTTTATTTGAACAAACTTGGTAGACACCTATTAGAACATGTTTGATGCTCAATATCTTAGCCATAGCTCTTTGAGTTCTTTAAAAGAAGATTTTTTAAGTTTTTACTATATGCATATAGGGAAAATCAATGACCCCCCGGGGTGGGGCCAATTTTGACCCCAGGGCTTTTATTTGAACAAACTTGGTAGACACCCATTAGAACATGTTTCATGCTTAATATCTTAGCTCTAACTCTTTTGGTTCTTTAAAAGAAGATTTTTTAAGTTTTTACTATATGCATATTGGGAAAATCAATGACCCCCTGGGGCGGGGCAAATTTTGACCCCAGGGCTTTTATTTGAACAAACTTGGTAGACACCTATTAGAACATGTTTGATGCTCAATATCTTAGCCATAGCTCTTTGAGTTCTTTAAAAGAAGATTTTTTAAGTTTTTACTATATGCATATAGGGAAAATCAATGACCCCCCGGGGTGGGGCCAATTTTGACCCCAGGGCTTTTATTTGAACAAACTTGGTAGACACCCATTAGAACATATTTCATGCTAAATATCTTAACTCTAGCTCTTTGGGTTCTTTAAAAGAAGATTTTTTAAGTTTTTACTATATGCATATAGGGAAAATCAATGACCCCCTGGGCGGGGCCAATTTTGACCCCAGGGCTTTTATTTGAACAAACTTGGTAGACACTCACTAGAAGATGTTTCATGCCAAATATCTAAGCTCTAGCTCTTATGTTTTTTTAAAAGAAGATATTTAAAGTTTTTTCTTTCGGTTGCCATGGCAACCAGAGTTCTGCATAGAATTAAATTCTTTGAACAATTTTTAAAGGTGACCACCAAAGGAACATTCCTGTGAAGTTTGGATGAAATTGGCTTAGTGGTTTATGAGGAGATGTCATTTAAAGTAAAAGTTTACGGGCGGACGCCGGACGGACGCCGGACGGACAGACGCCGGACGAAAAGCGATCACAAATGCTCACCCTGTCACTTTGTGACAGGTGAGCTAAAAAATAATAAAGTTACAGACAATAATAGCAAGACAAAGCAAAATTTGGATATTTGACCTTTTAGGTCAAGGTCATTTATGGATGAAGGTCAAGGTCAGAGCTGCATCAGTACTAAGGGTGTAGTACTTAAGTACCAGTACCAGTACTTGGCAAATTATGCAGTACCATTACCAGTACCAGTACTAGATTTTAGCTTGGTACTGCAGTACCAGTACTTTTTTTGGTGAAGTAATTAAGTATCAGTACCATTACTTTTTTTATATTCATCAAAGTTTGAATGAATACAGTGTCAAACAAATAATTGCAAATATTATTCAGCAAAGAAATAAAATCATAATTTACTTTAAAGTTAACATAACATATTTACAACTTCATAGTTTTAACATACTTTTTACAAACAATATTTACAACATATATTCATGTCATATCTAATTGTTAAGTAACCAGTCAACTGTGAAAATACAATGCAAACATCTTTCATTTAAAACACAACAGTCTTTTGTTGCCTTTCACACCTCTGTCATACCAAAGTAAATAACAACTTTTTATGGTGCTAACTTTTTTTTTTCACTTGAAATGGGATTATTTAGAATTGAAGAAATTAATTAGTGTTTATTAAAATTTTGCTCTTTTACTAGTAAATACAAAGTAGTAAAAGATTTTAATAAGGATATTTTAGAGTAAAGAGTTATTGAGTCTGTTTATCTTAATTTAATTTTTACTTAAAGTCTTTGGCGCTTTTTATGATAAATACTATGTTAATATTGTAGCAAATTATCTTTAGATTTGATAACTTACTTTTTCACAAAAATAAAATATAGTTAAAGTAACTTACAGCTTTATTTTATGAGAAAAATTGATGCTATTTTAATTTTTATCAAAACCAAAAGTACTGGGTAATGCAGTAGCAGTACCACTTTTGAAGACAGTAATGCAGTACCAGTACCAGTAGTAGCAAAATTTTGTAAGAGTAATTCAGTATCAGTACCAGTACTTGCAAAATCGCTGCAGTACGTACTGCAGTACCAGTACCAGTAATGCAGCTCTGGTCAAGGTTAGTGTGGTCTACTGAAAGGTCTTGTCCAAAGGGTTGTTGTGGCCAAGTATTAAGACAATCCACCAAGAACTAAAAAAATTATTATGATCCAGGTACAAGTTTGCTGACGGCAACGGCAATGCCGCCAGGACTATAACACAAAAAAACAGTCAAGCTAAAATCATACATATATCCAGCCAATGAAGTTTTTTTTAAAGTTCTTGTGCATAAAACAATATCTATTGTCACACAGATTGACAGATGTGCCACCTGTAACAGATTTAGAACCAATTTTGCGGTAAGAAAAATAATGAAAACAGATAATTTCATTTTCTTTTATTGTCGAGCTGTGTATTTCAAAGTTTTTTTCATCATCAAAATATATCAAAAATAATGTTTTTATAATTACAAGAAAAAAAACTTATCACATTATTGACCAAGAACATCACAGAGGAACTGCAAAGATATATACAAATATATTTAACCAATCATAAT